TTCATTTTATATTTAAAATTGGCCGCTTTTCAAGTCCTGTGTTAACTGTTATATCGTTAATTTGATAATATTAAAAATGATTGTACATTGTTGCATGCCTGCATTTTGGGAAAACACGGGGATATATCAAGCAAAACCTAACCAATAGATACTATGTTACATTAATGTTATGTTAAGGTGATGAACTCTTCTCGAGATCACATATATACTTAGTGGGAAAATATGTTATTTGTACGCACCCAGAATTTTTGTAAAAATAAAAACGTGCAAGAAACTTTTGCCTTATCTTGTGTGTTTTATTCATTTATGACATTTCCCATATTCAACTCCTTCAGGCCTGGACCGTGGTGTAATGTATTTAATTTACGATAGCATTATGTATATAAGGTGTACCATCAATTTGTGCCCTATCAATTTGCTTAGTCTGGAATGCGACAGATGCCAGGATCCGGGTTAATTTTTGGCACAGGGTTAGGGTTAGGGCCCACACAGACCGAATGCGATTCGACAACGCGACGCGAATTTTCAGTTTAAAAAAAAAACAACCGTCAACGGATAAAAATTTCACAAGATATGCAGACCAAATAGCTAAAATTGCTTAAGTTGTTACAAATATTTGAAAAACATTGAAAAATATTAAAGTTAAATATCATCGAAAATTGAAAATTGGCGACGCCCTAGCCAATTCGCGTCCGGTGTGTATTCCATCATAGGAATGTATCAGTTGTGACTCTCGATATTTTTAATACGGACACGCTAATTTGTGAATATGTCGATTATCTATCAAAAGTTAGAAAACTAATGCCTAACACAATTACAGCACATCTTAGTTGCATTATTAACGTCATAAAATACAACTTTCGCGAAGATTGGAGCGCATTAGATAGCTGTAAGGCAGCTATGTCCTGTATTATTTTTCGTGATGTGAAGTGTGGTCCTGTTCTATAATGGGTGACTTTAGACGATTTTAGGCAATTTTTGACGACGTTAGAAAAATAAATAATTACTGCAAAAACACTTTGGTCAGCCAGCGCGGTGATTGGTTTTTATTTAATTTCTACGTTTATAACGGTTTTTATTCCCTTGCCTAATGTTGCTTGGTAGAGAAAATTAGGCCAAAATCCGAAAAAAAACCCGCTCGGAAATTAAATAATTAATTTACTCGTCCCAGCTCTCATTTGTGATAACCGCGCGAATTGTAACGCATGCTCAGACGTATTCTCACCTGTTTATCCCACGTGTTCTGATGATAAACTTTTGGGCAAAGGATCTCTAGCATGAAATATGGATTTTATTTCATTTTATGATATGTTTGGTCATAATAAAAGGGTTGGAGTTATGTGCAATGGACTTTATTTACTACGATCTGTCATCAAAGTAGACTGAAATTGCAGGTATACGCATTTATATTAAACTTAGACTTGCCAGTGTATGAATTGAATAGATTCTATTTTAATGATATACTCAGATGGTTTGTTGAAAATTATTGCCAATTTGAAGCATTAATTGCTTTGTAAATGCATATCAAATCTTCAAATGGTTTCCTTGCAGCTTATAATTGAAACTTGTAATAGACCTTAGAGGTGCTTGCATCACGGCAGTGTCAAACAATGAATTGCAATGCATTGTGGGAAAGATGTAGGAAAATATTAACCTCATTTCATATTGATTGAAAACTGTGTGACGTAAGCACCTCTAAGGTCTATTGCTTTATACTGAGTACAATAAATAAGTAGGGTGCGTTTGGCATAGTTATCTGTGAGAACGTAAAGTGACGTGGCGAGCGTCAAAGACACAGACTTTCTAGGCGGTCCGGGGGATGTGCGCCCACAAATAAAAATTCATTCTGACTATTTGAGCATTGAATTCTAACGGTTCCGCCACTTTGAAAATTTACATTTCAAGCACGTGGTGCAGGGCTTCCATTTTAAAGGATATTTCAAGGAATTTTGTGTTGTCACTATATATTATATGCATCGAGTGAAAGTTTCAAACGCATCCTCCAGACAGATCTTATGTTGTTATAGTAATAAAACAATACAAAACAAAATAAAACCAAGCACCGATAAGTAGCCATTTTGTGAACTTTGAACTTTGATGGTTGAATGTAGCCTAATTTGCAGGGTGTTCCGCCTTTGTTGGCTTTGTATCATACCACTGCCCTGGTTCCAAAATTTGCTATCTGTATCGTTCCCCTCCCTCAATTTCAATTCCCAATTTTTATTTCTGTAAGTAGTAACAGCAAAAGTAACAAAGTATTGCTTATTCGTTGGTATAAATATTTACAAATGCAAAATGTTTTGGGGCAGTAGGACATACTGTCAGTATCGAGTAATACATTAGGAATAGAAAATGAACTTATTGGGCATTTATAGATCTCTTCTCAAAACATAAAGAGATGAATTTTGATAATTTTGTCAAAGTGCATAAATTTCCATAAAGGACATAAACGTGAACAAAAACATAGAACTTACAATACATTTTGTCCAACTTCAAATTATGTTTGTTTTCATACTATTAATTATGATGCAAATATTAATACAATTCAAAACCACTTTGGAAAGCACACAAATTGACAGTCTTTCCTTACTAGTTTATTTCAATTAAATCCTTTTCTCAGTTGCATTATGAAAGAAAATCTTCTAGGACTGCCACAGCTTTTATATGGTACTATGGTTATTTAATTAAACCTTAGGGCACGAACAGGGTCGTTTTTGACCCGGTAACTTTCTTGGGTCCCCTACAGCGGAAGTAAATTGCCTCCACCGTATTGCGCATGTCAATGGAAGCGAGTGATCATCTGCTTCAAAACAAAATAAAAATTACAACAATATCTTCAAAATTGGCGATTCTACAGCGTTTTTTCTGTAGTATTTTCAACGGTTCGCCATTATTTAATTGCAACATGGCTTCCAAAAGAGGTTTTCTTACAATAAATGAGGTTGTTTCTGTACTAGACGAAGAAAAATAACGATTCTAGTTCGAATGAATGTTCATCCTCGGGAATATAAACAAGTCAAGCGATGATAAATTTGAACCCACTTCACTGGAAAATCTTGATCTATGCTTCAAAGACTCGGCTTCTATCAATGAGACTATTCAAGAGGTATTATGTCTTGGATATTCAATCAATTTCAAGTTTCACTTGTTGTTTACAATGTTCATACAACCAAAAGCTGCATTGGTGATTGGTTGCATTTATTGACTGCCTATTTACAGAGATAGTTCATAATAAGTTTATTCAAACTGAAGCTACATAGTATATATTTGTAATGTATGTATTATGGTTTGTCGGCAATAAATTCTCATATCTTTGGCAATTATGCTATTTACATTTACGGTGTCATTTGAAAGCTATAGTGATGGTAGCATGGATGAAACATATAAAAAACACTTTGTCGGCCATTCATACTAAATCTGTTCAGGGCCACCTCCCCCCCCCCCCGGGATAGCCTCTTGATGCCTTCTAGTGTTAACATTCAGAAAGCATATATTTTTGGCTTTCAAATGGGATATAATAAATATATATTTGTATTCAAATTCCCTTCAAAAAATTTAAAAACCGCAGTGAAACTAAATAATGAGATTTTCTGTGAATTAATTCAGCACCCTAAGGGTTAAAATTAATAATTCTTAAATCATATCAGCCCTCTTTGCAAGTGACCCTTTAATTAATTTAAATTATACAGGATTTGCTGTGTCTACAACTCGCAGAAAATTTTCCCACTTTTCTTTGCAGTCCCAGAAAATAAAATACTTTTTTCTCCCCTGCAAACATGCAAATATTTTTTCCTCCCAGGCAAACCTTTGCCAGAGGGTGGGGCATTTGAATTTAATGTTCCATTCAATAAACATCAGATTTGTGGCTGATATTTACAGCCACCGATAACTTGATGATACAAAAAAATATAACAATACCAGTTTCAGGAACAAAAATACCCTCTATTATTTCTTCTACTGTTTAATATGTGAGCAAGAGTGTTAAACTCTCTATGCATCAAACTGCATGTTCTTGCCCTTAATTTAATGATACAACACAAACTACTAGAGAATGTTTTTGAAAGAATTTTATTTCTTATTTACATGGTGAAGAATATAAGTTCAATTGAACATGCATTCCGAGTGTACATCTATTAAAAATGTCAATTTCCAATAATTCTAAATAATATTGTTATTGTTACTAATAATGTTATTATTGTTTGGTTTTCAATAACCTTACGCTATGCCCAATATAAACATATTTATTCGCAGTCATAACCAAAAGACAAGTTGTATTTTGCATAACTTTAAAAGCAACCTTGCTTTCTCAAATTTTATGTTTCTGATGTTGCAAAAATTGCAACATGTCTAATTGCATGCAGTACCTTACAATTGTGAGATTGTTCTCTTTCACAATACGTATCTTTTAGGGGCCGATTACATCGAGCACTTTCAGCCCGGGGGTTGAACTCAGCCCTGCTATCCGGGTTGAAATTTTTTGCGATTACATGGACGATTTCAAGCCCGGCGGTGACAAAATTTTCAACCCAGGGTTGAAATTTCAACCCTGCTAGCTGAAGCAGCCCTGGGTTGAAAATTTTGTCATGTAATAGCGTGTTTGAGTTTGATAGAGTTTTGTATTACAGACACGGCTTAAATTTAAACCCTGGAAGTGAAAGTGCTCTATGTCACCCTGAGTAAAAATTTTAATAACTTTTACAATGATGGGGACCACGCTGTTCGACTGTCCAATTACACTGTTCCGATTGCTGCAGCCATTGCACAATGGCCTTCAATTCTGCTGGGAAGTTTGCATCAGACATGTGCTGTAGGATCAGTGGTATCCAATACTCTCTCAGTCCTCCATAATTCATGAACACTTCCACAGGTTTATGGGTTTTCGGCATTTGCTTTCGAGCTTTGACTACCAATTGGTCACGGACTGTGTCATAGCACGCGTTGCATTGTTCATCGAGAACTTTTTCAACGTTTATCCAATCGCTGGCTGTTAAGTGAGGCAGGTCTTTATTTGACAGACGTTTAATTTCAGTGAAGGCTTCCAAGACACCGGGCTGATTGGCAAACCTCCCTAGGTTATTTCCAGTCTCAACATCAGCATCAAACCATAGTCTTTTTCTTGGTACATACATTGCATATATGCGAGAGCTACCGCTGTCGGTGATTTTTTCTAGGTTTGTGCTATTCTCGGCGTAAAGGCAAAGGTGGTCGTTGACTTCTATTGTGTTGTCATGGGGCTTGATGAATAGACCAAGTCCGGCATCAGGAATTGTGCTTTTAGCTGCGTAGCACCGGCTTTCCCAGAACAGCGTGAAGGGCTGGATATTGAAAAAGAAGTTGTCGCTGCTTTCACTGTCCATGTGATCGCCGTCATCATTTTCTGTGCCACTCCATACTTTCGGATCGCTAGGTCGGTTCAAAATGGGTCATACCTTCGCGCGTTGTCAACATCGTTCCACAGCTTGCGCAAGTCCCAGGGTCGGTAGGGGTAGGTAAATACTTCTTCGGGTAGAGAAAAAACACCTCGTTTCTTTTCTATTGCATCTCGCATTGCTCTATCTATGGACATGTCAATACCGGTAGTGTAGAAGGAAAGCGTGTGTCCAGAAAAGGCAAGCTTGTCAGCGAAGTTGTAGAGTCTCTTGTCCTTTCCACGCAAGAAAACGTTCGCAAGTCTACGGCCGTGCAGATCTTTGGCTGTTGACACTTGTTTGTGACGATCCACTTCGACTTGCAAGTAAACATTGATGGCTTCGAACAACATCTGCCTTGCAACACGTAAAGCTTCGATTCCCATGTGCCTTTCAACGAATTTGGAAAGCGTATTTGATCCTTCCGGCTGCTTGTGTATACACAACGAGTGTTCTGTTTCGGGTGCGTCGCAGTTTAGCATGCGAAATCTTATCTTGTCCCCGTGGGTTACCAGACTGTGCAGGTCTTGTTCGCTCTCTGGAACTACCGTGATTTCACCCGAGTCCGCATCGAACAAATGCATTGATGCTTTCGGTACGTCTACAAGCTTTTGCACGTCACGGTCCAGGTACGCACCTGCCAGTTGCCAAGACCTTGGAACGGGATCTTGTAGTTTTCGTTCTTGCAAGAACGCTTCCATGTACTTGGTTGTAACCGTTTGTACGTCGGTGGGCGTAGCTTGGGAGATTGCTGGTGGGCTGAACAAGGGCGTTGACTTGGCAAAGTACAAGCACTTCAGCATCGTGGTGTCGCTGAAACCTGAAAATTCTGCTCGCATGCTTTGTGCAACCACTTCCGATTCGTCGCAATGCATTGGTCTGTTCTCGAACAGAACTGGCGCGATTACCTCCTTGGAATCTTCGCTTTCCTGATTGTCATGATACCTTAAGGGGTTTAACGAAAGCAGGTTTTGAGCGGGCATTTGACTTCGAGGTTTGCCGGCAAAGTTAGCAAAATACGACTTGTATGTGGACCTTTAAGGCCCGTTTACACGGGCGATTTTTGCTGCGATTTTAGGGCGATTTCCTTCTTCTGATGGATGTGAAGGAGTGGATGAGTTATAAATGTTCCAAGTTACGAAATTTCATAACAACGTCATTAAGTAATCTACTCCTTCATATCCTCCAAAAGGAGAAAATAGCAACTAAAATCGCAGCAAAAATCGCCCGTGTAAACGGGCCTTTATGGGTTCTTAATTAGACCATGCATTGTTAAGGTCCAGACACACCGGACGCGATTCGACAACGCGACGTGATTTTTCGATTTTCACTGACCGATAACTTTGATCCTACTTTAAATTTTCCAAATATTTAGAAGCGTTACAACATTTTGAGTTATTTGGTCTAGATATCTTTAAAATTTGCTGTTTTATTAACTTTCAAAAACTAAAAAATCGCGTCGCGTTGTCGAATCGCGTCCGGTGTGTCTGGACCTTAACAATGCATGGTCTAATTAACTGTATTTCGACTAGTCACAGAGAATTTCAATTCAAGGTTTAGGAAGCTTGTAAGAAACATATGTCCATCAATTTGATGGCTTTTAACGTTGCCCATCATGTGAGCTTTTTTGCTAATGTGCAGTTTTTTACACCTTGTTACTTCCGTGCCAGGCTGACGAACATGCTGAAATTTTCTCTTTTCTACCAGTAGATTTCCGTAAAACATGTGAAAAACTGTCAGCATGATGGACATGGATATGGACAAGGTAATTTCATTGTCGAATGAAAGCGAACAAAACTGAAGCAAGCCTGTAGATTCTGTCTTTGGCCGGGTATATTTGGATAGGGAACAGCCTCGTGCAATTATCACAAAGCTTCAAATTGTTCCCTTTTATTCGCTACTTGAAAAACTAGTAGAATTTTAAACGACCGTATTATTTATAAAGTAAAATTGCTTATGGTGGCTCCCGTATCTTTTTCCTATTTAGAGCCGAATTTTTCCAGTGTTATACTGACGAGAGGAATGATGCAATGTTTATGGATAAATGGTAAATGCACAATAGGAATGAGGAGTTTAAGATGTGCATATTAGAGAGGTTAAGATTGACGTTTACGGCAGACCGGTAACCGCAAACGGCAAGCTTCAATTCACATTTGAAGGTAAGTACTACAAGTTTTTGAAGGTTTCGACGAGTTTTTAGTCAATTCATTCTTCAATCTTAATGCACAAATTGTCCTAACTTCGAACAGCTAACAGTGGACCTCAAAATACGACTTGAATTGAGGTAGGTAAGCCCCTCGAGTTCAGCCTTTCGAGTTAATCATTGCTCTTTTACATGCCTCAAATGTCGGGGCTTAACTCGAGCGTCGAATATTTTCAATTACTTCGAGTTAAGCCCCTCTTTTTTCACGAGGCTAAACTCGAACTTTCCAAGTCGTGTTTCGTTCTTCGAGTTAAGCCCTTGACGAAAATGGGTGTGATTTGGGCGTGGTCGGGGCTTAACTTGAAAAGGGCTAAACTCGAAGGGCTTAACTTGAAAAGGGCTCAACTCGAAGGTTACATGCCTCCTTGAAGTTTGCCATTTGCGGTTAGCGGTCTGCCGTAAACGTCAATCTTAATAACCTCTCTAATCTAATACGCGAACATGAAGGGAAAAACAGTTACTTTTGATTTGTTACCAGTTTTAATTTGTTTTTTGCGTATCCGTCTTTTTTCAAAAAATAATTCGTAGTTTTTAACTAACCGTGTTGCTGAAACTTCAAATTTAGCGGTAATTTTTTTTCAAGTCCGCGTACTAGATTAAGCATATGTTAAGCTCCCTATACGTTGTTTGATTTTTGACGAGCCCTCTTCAACAGATACCGGACTACACAAAACAGCCAGCTTCTACGCTAAGAAATGCTAGGTTACGTCACAAATAAGGGACAGAGCTCAGTTATTCAAAGGGAAAAATCAATAATGGTTTTCCTTTAAATGGGAACTCCCAACACAAGGTGGGCTTAAATTATTAGAGTGTTGCTAAATTATTTCGGTCCAATTATTAATGGGTAATTTCTTTCCAAAGTTCTAGACGTTTTAAAATTTGGGCGCCATTTTCCGCGCAGACGCGGATTTATCAGCGCGCTACTTTTTGACGTCATTGCGTGCTTCTGAGCTGTGTTCCATTACGCAAACTATAGTTTTATATGACAATTAAATATTAGTTTCAAAGCTTTCTAATTCGTCAAGACAACTTTATAGTGGCATTTGAAATGAATTGTAAATTGCATCTTGATTAATTGTTGGCAGACACTTTTTCAAGTTTTAGTCAATTCTTATGAAAATGTGATGTCACATGTTGCGTGGAAGTTCAAAGTTGTTTAATATGACTCATATATCATAACGTAATCCATTTACGATGTTTATTTTTAACTTTGCAGTTCAGTTTTTGAATAAAAAGCATTTTAGGTCAAAAATCGATGGCATTGCCCCTTTAATTAGCCCGCGTGCAGGCCCAAGGGAACTGATAGTGGGCCTGCAAGCAAGGCCCGGTATTTTGTAAAACGCCCCTTTTCATAACACGCCCCATTCGCGCGTCAATTGTCAAAAAGAACCAATGACAGCACCCAAATATTAACAAACAAACTCGCATTAAAATGTTGCGGGGTTTTCTCTGCTTTAATATTCAAAATAGAAACAATGTGTAAATGCCTGTGTTAAAACTCCAAAAAAAACAAGCAACGCAGTCAGTAATTGCCAAATTTACAAGTGCTCATTTTCAACTAAAATCGGAACAGGCAAATTAAGACGAATTTCAACAGAAAACCAGTCTCAAACTTCAAATCGTGAGGGAAGTCGTGCGACCACATCAGCATTTATAATGTTGCTTCGCTGTCGCCATTGTTATAAATAAATTGTCTCACTTATCAGATCCAATCGTGTGTGCAATTCTTGTTGGCGGCGGAAAGTACGAAATTTATTTCAGTTATTTCATTTGGTGAGAACTCTACAAAAGAAGAGAGCGTTCAGAGTCCAGATCGTTTCGTTTCAAACGGCAATTTAATACCGTCTTATCTTTTGCTCTCTGAGCGAAGCCTTGTAAATCGCAAAGTATTTTGAATAGGCTTACATGCAACTGCATCTCATCATCAACCAAAAGATAATTTTCTTGAGGAACATATAACGTATCAAGTCTGTTTGAAATTAATGAAACTCAAGTAAAGGTTACTATAGTTTTATACCCCATTCGTAATAAATTTTGCTATTCCAACACCTCACGACAAGCAATCCTCATTGGCATAACGGCAAAAACATTTCTTCCTTCAAGTAAACAATAAACAGTCTGTTCTTGTCCCATTTGTAATCGAAAAAAGTGAACAATTTTCGAATTTTAAGCTTATCGAGAGCCTTTGTCTATGCCTTTGTGATGAATCACTGACCTAATTATAGAATCCAACAGCAAACAGCCAATCAGAATGCCGCGTTCGTGGGCAAACGCGGAAAGTACAAAATACCGGGCCTTGCTTGCAGGCCCACTATCAAGTTCCCTTCAGCCTGCTCCCTTGGGCCTGCACGCGGGCTACCCTTTAATTTGCTGTTTATAGAATTATAGACCAATTGCGAAACTTAGTGACCGCGCCTTAAACTGCACGAAAACGAGGCTTATTATGCAAAAACAAATCATTCTGCTATATTTTTATATGGGGAAAAATGAATTTCAGTGTTTGAGACGCGTTTTTATGGTAATCTCTTCATTTTTTTCAATACTTCTGTTTTGACTATGTAAATCTTTATTAAACTTGTTCATAGATTTAGTCTTACTTCAAATTTCACTGTTTTTCGCGGCGTGCGAGGCTAAGTTTTGCTGTTTTTCGCCGTCGTTTTCGATTTTAACTTTAAAAATATGAAAGTAAATGTCGGGCAAAATTTGTAGAAATTTTATGTTATTATCCTTTGACAAAATCGTTTTTTTCTCGCACGAAGTCTAAAAAAATCTGGGTAGAAAGAGTTATATTTTAGTTTGTTAAGTTATACTGGCTATTTTATTTGCATCTTAATCTGATTTTAAAGTCTAGATTGATCTTTTCCATATGTTTGTTCCATCACATGCTAAAACAACAACGAAATATCTCTCCAAAGCGGGTAAAAATATAGTGGGAAATCGATGTTTAGATAAATTTAACAAATATTTATATAATCTAGTACGAAATATTAAGAAAAGATCAAAGAGATTAAAAAAAAACACTTTAAAAACCCTAAAATTTACTTTTCGCTATATAAAAATATAGAAATTGTTTTGTTTTTGCATAATAAGCCTCGTTCTCGTGCAGTATGAAGGCGCGGCCACTAAGTTTCGCAATTGGTCTATAGTTCCTTGCGAATTAAATTTTCCTTGCGAATTAAATTTTCCTGCGCTGAAATTGTATTAGTGGCATTGTTGCTTATGTAAACATTTGCAATGTATAAAAATGATATTTGACCCTAGCCAAAATACTCGCATGTCCATGACTCAGTAAGTGTTACTTACTTTAAAATAGCCGCACAAAAGTATAGTTTTGCGTAATCGAACACAGCTCATTGCAAGCAATTTCTCCTTAGGGACTGTTGGTTAATTATGGCCAGGGAGGGGGTTAAAAATTTCAGAATCATTAAAAAATTTGGCGTACATTTTTTGAGTCGATGCAAATTGGGGAGGGGTACGGTTTTAGTTCAAGCAATTTCATGCACTGCATGACGTTGATGCTATACAAAGAAAATACTGTGCAAAAATACAAGAAATTTCTAGATTAGCAGAAAAACACTATTAAAACAGATTATTTTGATAAATTCAAAAACGTGAACATGCGCGTGCGTCCTGGGACCAACAAAAAGTCGTCGGGGTACATTTTTCTCACGTGACGTCTTTTTTGGGGGGTTACAATTTTTAAAACGTCAAATTCTAGGCCGGTACATTTCTTTATAAACTCCTTATAAAAAATAAACACCAGCCCCCCCCCCATTACCCTCTTTGATATTTCATGACCAAACTAATTTAGGAACATTCTAATAAACACAGGATCTTTTATTTAAGCACAAGTTTTGTGTTGGGACTGGAATTCAACAAAATTGACGTATAGTTTCGCTTTTTATAGAGTGACAATGAAAACAATTGAAGGAGAACAGCTGCAAACAGCGACGGTGAACTGAACGATTTTGTGATCGTTTCCAAATGAGACAAGTCCATTTTATACTAACATACTGTTCTTTTTGTTTTGCCAATCCGAACGCAACAAGTTAATAGCAATTCAATTTGAGTGCAAGTATAATTCGGTTTTGTCTCATTAGAAAACGCGTATTTGTAGACTGGCTTTACATATAGTCGTAACTGTCGTGAACATGTCAAGCTGAACGATGTAAAAGAGTGTCCGGCTGGCCATACATTTTCATTCAATAAAGACTGATTTGCACGCAACTCGCATTTGTTCAAGTATTTTACATTCTTTCTTAAATGACGTTTTCACAACAGTTACAGCAACGGGCAAAACTAGGAACAATACCTTGTGTACATTCTATCGAATTCGAGCACAGAATTGCAAGTAGGATAGTTACACTTCTTCAGCGCTTTGACATATCTGTGGTAGTGGATGATCTTGAATTCTTCTGCAATCTGTTCGCATTTCGCCGTGTAATTTCGTTTCTGTGGTGATTCTTCACGCTCCGAGTTTTGCATATGTTGCGACAAAACGTTGCCAATAAGGTGTTGTATGCAGTTCGTAACGCCGTTGGGTGCATTTGCTAACCGTAGAATTTTCTCGGGCGTCGAGCATGCCGAATCCTTCGCGATCTCGTCCCAAATGGTCCTCAGTGCTGCTACTATGCGTCCGTCCAGTGTCTGCCATTCGTCCATCGTTTGCCAAAACAGGTCAAGCTCGCGGTCATTCGGTCGGTTGTCCTTGACAGCACCACAAATCTTCCGAATGAGCTGCACTCGCTTCGTGCCATACCATTTCGGATCCGTTTGGGCACGTAGGTGTTGCCTGCACTCTTTTGTCTCTACCTGTGGCTCGGACAGTTCGCTGTTACTGGCTGTACTAGCAGTTGCAACACTGGTCGTACTAGCAGTTGCAACGCTGGCCGTACTAGCAGTTGCAACACTGGTCGTCTGACTGCAAACATCCGTCGGTTCTGTTGTTGATTGGCCTTCTTCGAGTCTAGGAGCAATACGTGCAGGTGGTTTTGTTGAAGCTGTCTGTGAATCTTGCGACGTTCTTGCACGCTTTCGGGAATTAAACGACTCGCTCGACCGTGTGCGTGTTTGACGTTTTGTCACATTTTGCTTTCGAGCGCAGCCAGGAGATCCCTTTCCCAATCCCTTTCTTTTCGTTCCAGCAGTGACAACGGTTGTTTGCTTCTCACGTGGTTGTTTCTTTGAGGCTTTATCATTGGGTAGCTTCGGAGCGTTCTGCGCCAAATTCTTGTCAATTTGCCTTTGTCCAAAAATACCTAGCGAAAACAGGAAGCACAAGACAATTAGAATTCTGTGGGGGGGAAACAATCGAAATTTCATGGACACTTCCTCGTACCTTTTTTTGCAGCGAAAAGGGACACGTAAAACTTATTAAATGCGTCAATTAGCCCTTGTACGGTTGCTCTGTCATCAATTGGGTCCAGAGAATCTAGATTTATTTTAATAGATTTGTAGATATTCGCCAGATAATCCTTGCACTCGTTTATTGTCGAATTCAGATTGGCACAATGACACGCCTCATTTGGGCAGCTCGCTCTTGTAGGCTTGCGATATCACGTGAACGCATGTGACCTATATCATTGCTAAAATTACAACATGATGAGGTCGTCAAATAAACAAATATGTACACGTATATGTAGATATATGGGTTCCTGAAAGCAATAACAATTATATCAAGTGTGTGTAGTACAGAGAATTTTTCCAATCCTTGTTATTCAACACTCTAATATATATATAACAGGAAAAAATTGTCTCTCTAATTTTTTCATTTTTCGCACCCCCCCCCCCTGCGAATTTTTTCCAAAAATAGAATAATTTATTAATATGCATGTTGTTTATGATAATCAGATCATAGTCTAAAATAAAAAGCGTCTGCGTCGGCAGATAAAAATACGCAATGTTTGTATTTATGGAAACTGACGTGCTCATCAGTAATTTCGGTGGCAAAAATTCGACTAAAATCCCCCTAGCTATCGATTCGATACTATACATGAGAAAATATTATTTTATATACAGCCATTCAAAATTTCCGCTTTCCAAGTTACTAATTATACGACTATCTAATTATCCCAATTGAAACAAATGATAAATGTTTAGTTTGTTGTAAAAAATGCCTTAATTTCAGGATTTACCAGCGATTGCATGCAGCTACATATATCTATGAATTAATGCGGTTCTACTCCAGTGGCCGATATACTGTAGTATTCGAAAAATTAGTCATCCGATATAGCATTTTGTCTATTTTCCAGTTTAGATTTTGTTTCACAAGTAATGTGATTTCTGTTGTATGTAATTATGTGAAATATTAATTTAGTTAGTCAAATTAGCCACATTTTATTATTAGTTAGTTATAATGTATAGTATTTCGTTACACGACCAACATGCAATATCGTGTTTAAATAAATGCATTTATTATTATTAAGTTGATAACTTTCCAAGAAATGTCTTTATATGGTTTAAAACCATTTAATTTTCCAAATATATATTCTAAAAACTGAAGCGAATCGAAGATCATTGTAAAGCCAAGCCATTTTTATGTGCTTTCAGTAGAATAAAATAGAGGCAAACTCGCGATATATATAATTAAAACATCACATTTATTTGTGATTCTATTAGATTTCTACCCTAGCCTGCGCGGCAGGCGGTATTTGCGGGCACGATTCATGCCCGCGAATACCGCCTGCTACGCAGGCTATTTCTACTCTTGCGTGGTCACAGGCGGCCCAGACGTGTATTAGTGTATAGTAAATATATCATTATAGAATATACTACACAATAAAATTTGTAATGAATTTTGTATTTTAAAATCATATTTACTTGCCTACTTTGATTGTATGTGATCGTCTTTTATTTCTGTGCGACTTTACATTCGATGCCTGCGACTGTCTTCATAGGTGATAGTATTGAAAGCAAAGGCTAACGATTCCAGTTCTCAAACAGCCCACACGAACAATTCAAATCGAAAAATATCCCCTTCAAATTGCTTTGTTCGCGGTAAAACTTCGCCAGAGTATAGAATAAACACCCATCTTCGAACATACAATGCAATATTAACACGTTCTATAATTTTTGCAATGGATTTTTAGCGAAATGTTTCGAGACTAAAATTCTATGGAACTTAGAAAGCCCGATAATTACTACGGCGCCTGCTTGGCCACCTAGCCTCCTTTACCGTTTGGATTGTCAGGGGGGGTCGAATAAAAAACACCTATTTCGGGCAACAGCTAGCCAATCTCGACGCCGCGATACCGACTGTTTACAATATTTGAAATCTGATATTGTAATTTATCAACAACAAAACTCTTTCGATCGATCGATCGTATAGTATAAGATAGAAAAGGGAGCTTTTGCAAATTACAATATCAGATTTCAAATATAGTAAACCGTCGCTATCGCGGCATTGATTTGCTGCCTGTTGTTGCTGTATACGATCGAAAGAGTTTTGTTGTTGATAAATTACAATATCAGATTTCAAATATTGTAAACAGTCGGTATCGCGGCGTTGATTGGCTGGCTGTTGCCGAAAATAGGTGTTTTTTATTTGAACCCCCCCTGACAATCCAAACGGTAAAGGAGGCTAGGTGGCCAAGCAGGCGCCGTAGTAATTATCGGGCTTTCTAAGTTCCATAGAATTTTAGTCTCGAAACATTTCGCTAAAAATCCATTGCAAAAATTATAGGACGTGTTAATATTGTCTTGTATGTTCGAAGATGGGTGTTTATTCTATACGCTGGCGAAGTTTTACCGGGAACAAAGCAATTTAAAGGGGATATTTTTCGATTTGAATTGTTCGTGTCGGCTGTTTGGGAACTGGAATCGTTAGCCTTTGCTTTCAATACTATCACCTATGAAGACAGTCGCAGGCATCGAATGTAAAGTCGCTCAGAAATAAAAGACGATCACATACAATCAAATTAGGCAAGTAAATATGATTTTAAAATATAAAATTCATTACAAATTTTACTGTGTAGTATATTCTATAATGATATATTTTAATACTATACACTAATACACGTCTGGGCCGCCTGTGAGTGAATCGGCGGCGAAGCGACTAATATAAAATACAGGCCTTCGATTTTAATAAAAATATAACTACATTATGTCAAGTAACTATCCGCATACAAATGAGTAAATACACAATAGACATACCTTTCAAATTCCATGTATTTTACTAGGTCTTTCGAACTTTATAATAGAAAATTTGAATAAAAATCTTCTCCTTTGAATGCTTGCTCTCAAAAGATCGAACTTGGCGCTTGTTGTCAATGTGTCATACAGACAGAGCTGCCACTCTCAATAGCCTATTTTCACCTAAGGCTAGTACTAAAATCCCCTACTTTTCCCTACAAGTCAATGTGTAATTTTCCCCTACATTCCCCTACGTTCCCCTACAAATATCGCATTTCCCCTGTAATCCTGAATTATCATCTACGATACAGATGTTCCGGTTTTTAATATAACGATAATATATTCTATTTATTAAATTGCGCAAACCTTAACAAAACAAAACCACAAACTATTACTCAAAAATTCACTCAAATTCACTCAAAAATTCAAGAAATAGCGAAACATTCTTCTGCACTAATGCACTTGGATGAATATTTAAGTTGTTGGGAAAAATCCTTAGATTTCCTTAGATTTTTTCTCTTCCTTAGATTTTCCTTTTCGACACTAGAATTTCCTTAGAAAAGGAAATTTCCTTGAAAATGGAAGCACTGTCGTGGAGACCGGAGACGTGGAGTTATTATATCACATATTCCAGTGCTTCCACATTCAATTCAAATCTAAATTTCTAGTTGTTTCCATGAAAAATCATGATTATCCTGCAGTTCAATAGTGCTAGTTCCATTTTGTAATTCATAATACCATAAACAGACACACAATTTTTTTTTCAATTCAAACCGTGAAGAAATCCCCTACGCTCCCCTACAGATTACCCTTTCTCCCCGTAGGTATTCCCCACTCCCTACAAGATATCATAATCCCCCACTGTAGGGGAATCCCCCTACGAGTGGCAGCCTTG